TATATGTGAAAACGACGAAACGAAAAAAAAACACAAACTTACTTCGAAATTTTACAAGAAAACCACTGTATTCGATAGGTACTTTATATATATAACAATGATTAAAGTATACGATATAAATTTTCGAATGGCTTTAATTTCATTTGTAAAAAAATAAATTCTGAAATAAAGCGAGTGTACATGTGATACAGGCGAAGAAAATTTGACACAGATCCGACGTCGACAAGCGACGCGGCAGCGGGCGACGCGGCGCATTGTTAAGAGGGAGCAGAGGAAAATTTCCTAATCTTCGATTTGATTTTAGAGGGGTATATCCACTTTAGAGTTAAAAATAAAATATTATATGAGTAACTACACGATATATTCAAGCATAGACACTAATCAGAAACATAAAACAATAAAGTTTCCTAGATAGATAAAAATCACGAAATGACCTAATTTTCACATTTTTTCGATTCATCCTCGAAATGCTACAGGTTATTAGGACAAAAATTAGACAATTTATGCATGATCGAGAACTGTCACTACGGATTTTTCTTTAATCCCTTTAGTTTTAGAGTTATTCCGCTAAAACGAATTTGGTACTTTTAATGCGCAAAATTCAACATTTCCTGTCGCATGTCACGCGAACTTCAGGCATATATTTGTTTCACAAATTTGGGCGGAGCCAACGTCAAAACTTTTTTGGCATGAGAGCTCTTAAACCACTGGGTAATTTTGGGATAAATGTGAATTTAATAACTACAGGGCTTCAGTTAAAAACCAAAATTTAGCACGTTCTCTGTAGTACTTAAAGAAAAATGTCTACATATAAAAATTATGTGTAAAGTTAAATATCATTTTCTTAAATACGTTTTAAACTTTTATTTGAGCCTGTTTTCAGGATTTTATATGATCGCGTGAAGTACACCCTGTCATGTAACAAATTAGCACATTCTTTAGACAATAGCCTTAGGCGTATTGGATAGTTTTAGTAAGACTTAATAAACCTAAACCATTTATTCTAGCAAAATAATTTTGCCCGCTTTTCCTCAGGTGACTCGCCTCAACAATAAAACTGAAACTAAATCAGATATTAAAAAACCTGATTAGAGGGGGTCATAGATCTCGTTTCGGTGATCCCAGATGTGTTAATAACTCAATTTCGCTAGAAATGTCGATTACGTTAGTTATGATTAGGAGGACAGAGATGTGATTGAATCAAACTACTTTACACAGACATTTCTCGTAAATTTTGCCTTTGCAAGGAAGTGTGCCGTTTTATTCTTGGAAACTTTTATTTTTATTGTTTTGGGTTACAAGATTAGCGCGAATTCGTGCGTGTATAGTGTCGCCTTGACCAACGGCTCGGGGCTAGATCCGATGCGCACTTTCGCAAGGTTGCGGCCGCGACTCGATCGTCTTAGGACCTTGACAAGAAACGGTCTATCATTAAGTATTCCACAATCAGCACCCGTAAACAAAACAATGAATGCTGCGGTTCGTGTCATAGCTATTCGCTGACGTCACCAATTGCTGATAAATCCTAGATAGTTCCGGTAAGGATAGCTATGCCATATTGTATCAGATTGCTATTGATAATGACTTTGTCGTAACCTTTCAATTATTTAAGATGAAATATTGCGCCCCGTATTTGGTTATATAAACATCTTAGACCGTCTTATTTTAAGGTTATACATTTTTTTATAGTCATTAACCCATTTATAAGTCCCACCGCTGGGCACGGATCCCATCTCAGGCGAGGTTTAATGCGGGTTTGCGACTTCAGTTTTTCCAGGATTGTCAATCTTCATCGACGTCCAGGTTTCGTCACGATGCGATGTTTTCCTTCGCCGAAAAGCTCATGGTAAATTTCGCACATAAATTCCGAGTAACTCAAGAGGTGCGAGCCCGAATTCGAACTCACGGTATCTTGTCGTTGGGTTCAAAATAAAATAGTTCATCAGGTTACGAGTATATATTCGTATTACCATCGAATAGGCACGAAGTGCCTTCATGAAAATGAAAAAGATTTTGTGTTGTAGAAGGTTCAACCTTAAATTCCGCACGCGTTTGGGCCGCTGTTATGTCTTCAGTATCTTGCTGTTTGGTATGGAGTGTTGGACCTTGACCTCAGCATTATGCTCAAACTGACAAATGATGTTTGGCATAACGTGAGTACAAAAGATCACCAATGTTGAGGTTCTTCGTCGAATGAGAAAAAAGTCGGAAATACTCAGAAAGGAAGCTGCAGTATTTTGGCCCCGTGATGAGGGGCAATAGATGTTGCAACTTCAACTAATAATGCAGGTGAAAATCCAAGGAAAGCGTAGTCGAGCCAAAAAGAAAACCTCGTGTTTGAAGAATCTGAGAGACTGGTTACGCCTAACACACGTTCCCTCTTTCGTGTGGCAACTTCAAAAATGAGAATAGCCATGACGGTCGCCAGCCTTCGTAGAGAAGCGGCACACTAACAAGAACAAGGTTATATATAACGTAGTTTAAAGAAGTATGAGCATATTCATATCGCGCCCTTAAAATAATGTGACTAAACACGAAATGTAACATTTTTGGGAAACTGACTAAATAAATAAAAGTACAAAAAAATTAATAATGTCGTTTTCCATATTAAATAGAATTTTGTCACATTTGTCACCACTAGATCTCCAGGTAATCTCGATAACAAAGGATGTCCTCCAAAAGTGCCAAGTAAAAACTACTAAGAATAAATGGGAATTCATGATGAGACTGATACGAGTGGAAGAGGGCAAACCTGATACGAGTGGAAGAGGGCAAAGAGGTTTGTCAGATCTGCTTATTCCCAGTCGCAAGGGCACACCAGCAAATGCTGCATGGACTGTGGGAGCCCCGCAGTCACCTTGGATTAGTTAGATTAGCTAACTGAACCGCTATTTACACATCTTGTCTCTGCATTGACCTATCTGAGTCCGGACTCGATTTAGTTAACATATTGGAGATTAGATAGTACTGTTTTTTTTATCATTATTACATTTTATTATTTTAATTTTGTGATTTTTATTCAAATCCATAAGTAGTATAGAAAGTATTGCACAACTGTCTGCATAAAAATTATGCATACTTTGAATGCCGCAAGACTGGTCATAGCGACTCAAAATGAATTCTTATACCACCTTTATAACATATGTACATTGACCTAAGTCAATGCCTATATATTACAAATAAATAAATGAATTGTAAAAATGAAGGTACATAAGCTACGCGAGCTGATTGTCAATAATAAATAAATACCGCTTCAAATTTATTAAATAAAATAAGGTTAATTTATTTTTATTTCAAAAACTACACAAAACAATTTCGGTTGTGCTGTTTCTATTTATTAACGCTACAAAAAAAGAATCATTCATCATAATTCTGCGTATTTGTTTTTTGGGAAAACTTACGAACGCCTAATGTAGGATGAATGAATGAATGAATGAATGAAATATTTTTTTAAGTAAAAAATTACAATGGCAACACGGGACAGTACAGTAAAACTGAAGATAAAAAATCTATTGCTATGCTATTACTATTTTATATTACTTTCTGTCTATTATCTCTAATACTTCGACAGAAGTACTTGAATCCAAGGTCATAACAGCAAATTAATAAAAAAGAATGCTAAATAGCAATTTTGTCTTGGTTACCTTTAGGATAATAATACCTGTTTAATGGTTCGCGATCATCTACGTATGATTATTGTTAGGTATAGGATGTTCGCACCGGTCTCTGCACCGTGGTCAATGACATTACATACAATGTTGCTCTTTTAATACCGCAATTTGATAGCTCTATAAATTCGAGTGATTTGAATGACACGTTGCACGAAACGCGTTGTTTTATACGGGATTCTATTAGGTGCGCCTATTAAGTAACGGTAAACCAAAACATAGGGAATGCATTTAACTTTCAAAATGTTTCACAATCTGCACCCGTCACCCTGTGACGCAACGCTTTTTTTATAATATCGGGACAGTGACGGGACGAACAAGTCGTGTGCCTCATGGTAAGCTACACGCCTGTCCATAACAGTTGCAGTGACACTCAGAGCTTTAAATCGCAAAGATCTAATTCTCACCATCCCCAGGTATCTTTAGTAAGCAAATATTTTATAATTTCTGTCTTATTATTGGCACAAAAAGACAGGGTTATTAAAAAACTGATTTTGTATTTCTATTATTTTTCCTAAACCACTATCTATGACGACCACAAGCACGACCTGATGAAACAATTATGTATTTAAAATTCGTTAATAAATGTGGGAAATCCTGCCGCATCGTTGAAGATGAAGTGTCATATAAAAATTTAAAAATTTTGCACGAACATATAGTTAAATCTAGCGGAGAGGCTTTTCATGAAATTCCTGATACCATATTCAGGAAATTCATGAAAAGTCAAAATAATATCGCATAATAACACAACATTTACTGATTTTGCAAATTACGGTATTTTTTTACTTTTTTTTTAAAACAGATTATATTAGCTAGCTATTTTTCCATAGATAATAGAACTCGAACTCATGTTATAAAAGGCACAAACGCATGCAGCACAATGTATTGAATATAAAATAAATAATTCCCAAATTCTAAAAGTACTGCAGAATTTGAATTCAGAAAATAAATTTTGAAGAAACAGTTAAATTGCAGATGTTTAGTTTTTTTTATACTTCAAGTTAATAATGCGAAATATATTCAGATGTTTCGTAAAAACTTTTTGCTTAATCCTGACGTAAAAAAAAAAATAGGTAGTGTAATGAAAAAGCCCGTGGGCATAATTTAGGACATTACGATCTCGTAAACAATACGAGCTTATGTGATGAAAAATACATTTACAAAATATACGTAAGTATAGTTTGTAATGGTTCACGTGAATTTACACGGGGCAGAGACTTGTCTGCTGTGATTTTTAGTAAAAGGGTTGTCTATTCAATAGCAACGTGACGTAAGGTTTTCTACTGAATCAACAGTCGAGTATAGCGCATTTCGTATGTGGGCGTTGCTTACCGAGTCTGAGTTCCCCAAAGTTGCCGCAGCCGATCTTCTTGCCTACTCGAAAGTTGGGCCCAACCATGAGAACGCCCGAGGACGAGGTGACGGAGTGCCGCGACGTGTGCATGGCGCTGCTGCCGCCGACGCCGGCGCGCCCGCCCACTGCACCTGTCGCGCTGCAAATACAAGAAGGCATAATAAAAATCTCGTCAATTGCTTTAAAACGTCGCATTTTGTATCGGTATCCGGGAAGAAGAATTTTCAGATCTGTTAAATTCATGGCCTAGCTTATATAATACAAATAGTAGTATTTTATATTCATTGAGCACATGTTGACAGTATTACACTACTACAAATAAGACAGTAGGTACGGATAGGTAGGAAAAGGCGTTGTTAGAAGTAGTAGAGAGAACAATAGTTTCTTTTTTCTTTGTATATTTTTATGTTAAGTTCCTATTTGAAACAAATACAAAGCGAAGGTCAATATCACTGGATCTGTTCAGGTTATGGGACTTACCACACTTATAAGACATGGAATCGTATCAAGCCGGTACAAAAAAAGCTTTATGCCTTGTGATAAGAGTGAAAAACACGTTGGGCGTTTCGCGTCGGGCGGCTGCGGCGGCGCGGCGGTCCGATCGTAAACGAAACAAAATATCCTACTATTCTACCTTAACGTTATTAAATCCATGTGATTGGTAAGTTTTAATTGCTTATTCCATTTCACGTGATATTAAACCCATGTGATTGGTCGAATTTCTAACTGCATTTCACGGGATATTAACGCTTTGTGATTGGTCAGTTTGAAATGTACCTTATTAGTTCTTTATAACGCAAATGAACGAATTAATTTTTAAAATAAATTGCTTTTGATTGTGGCTTCGAAGTTTACTAATCAAGAGAATTATTAGTATATTTTACTGTAAGGTTATCTCTTATGATAAGTTTATATTTTATCCAATGCTGATTAGGTCAGATTAAGTATAAATTGTTGTTTATAATTAATGTCTAAGTTTCTCTCGTTCTATTTATCAGTGTTTCTATCACAAGCACACACATTAACAAGTCTTGATTGACGCGTTTGTGTTTTTCCAAGTTTCTTCAGAATCAACGATGTCCTTCAAATTTGTAGACCGAATCCTTAGGGTGAAATACAGGCCAAGTTTGTCAACTATAAAAGGTTGCACGGTCTTTTAAAACCTAGAGCATACTCAAAATACGGTCACGACTTTATGCAGACATATAACGGAATTGTAACTCAAGATCTTGACTCAAACTCGAATGTTTACTTTAAAAAGATTTTAAAACACTTTGATGTCATTACAACACAATGTCTGTATAACGCGGACGATCTCAGTGGCCCAGCGATTAAGTGGGTGTTAGATGAAGAAGTCCCGTGCCGGATTCCCGTTCCTAGTGGAACAAGGGATTTCCCTAGTTGAATACCCAGGTTTAGTTTAAAGCCATTTGAAAAATGTATATCGTATACGATACGTGTTCTGTGTAGTTCAGTTGCTATAAAAAAAACATTGGTACCTATTGAATACAGCGGTTTTCTTGTAAAACTTCGTGGTAAGTTTGCGTTTTTTTCTATCGTGAAAACTTTTACGAATCTTGCTTTCACACAGTGTAGTAAAAAATTGTATACTCCATACATATTTTTTTTTTCAAAGTGATTTATTATACACTTTCATGTTATACGGAATCAAATAAAGCCATTTGAGGTTGTACAGACTCTTAAATAATATTGCACACAAAAATGTTACTACGACTTTTCTATGCGCCGTAGTGCTTCTATTTACTTATTTAATATAAAATATATGTAAATCATTGGATTTTGTCAGTTAAGTTGTTAATACTGCTCTATAGAGAAGCAGTAGACGGTAACTATACAGAAAGCCATTGGAAATAGCACTGCTAAGCCTGTTTTTCTAGATCCACATAGCGAAACGGGGTACCCCGTGCTATCACATTCTGATATTGAATTTTACGGTAAATGCCGTTACTGTCCACGTAAGTGTTAATATTATTTCAGATAAAGCATTTTCTAATTATTATTTTAATGTGCAAAAGTCTTGTAGCGGGTTTGGCGGAGACGGTGGCCTGCAAAGGATTGAATAGTGGCAAAAGTGCTCCGTGTGGAGTCAAAACGGAAATAGATATTCGAAAGACCGGTTCAATAACTCAGGATCAAATCGATACTTCGAAGAAGAAAAGACGTAAAAGTCGAACCACAAAGTACTGACTTCAAGACGAATGAAAAACAATAATTCATTAACGGTTTTGTTCCTATTTTTTATTTTAATAACTATAATGTTTACGTCACAATTTTTTTTTTGCGAATAACTAAATTTTAAGTGGACAGATTGAAGGACTATGATATAGTAAAATTTATCTCAAGTACATCCTTTTTTTTATTCTGTCGAATTATTAGAAATAATTAAAAAAAAGAATTATAACAGTTTATAGTAGCCTAACTTAAATATATTTTTTTATTAAATTCACTTTTACGCCCTTTCTTCCCCCAGTATTGGTTAATCGACAGATTCCCTTTCAACACATTGAGTCGGGAAAGCAGTTCGTGAAATGTTTTCGGCAGTTTTGCGAGTCAGTGGGTTATACGACCCATGTAATGTTGGTGTCAAAATAATCTCGGCAAGTGCAATGAATTCCATCAGTGTACGAGACACGTAGGTTGCGTGTTTACAGTTCTTTTGTTCGTCTAAAAACTTACGATGCATGTGTTTGAAATTTATCTCAACAGAAAATTTAAAATTTCAAACGCAGAAAAAGAATTTTCAATTATTTTCAAATGGAAGAATTCTAAAACGCAAATCTTGCAAAAACTCCGGTGTTTATGAATTACGTCTGCTTAAAATTTAAATATAGACAGAGTCGACTGAGGCAAGTGCAATGGTGAAAGAATTTTGAAAATATGAAATGAAATTCCATTTTCGTCATATTACGATTACAAGGGATGTAATGGCGGAGGCCGGGCGTTGCGAAATGCGGGAAAACTAAAATCAGTTGCCCTCCGTACCGAATTCGCAACTAGAAACTCGCGAGTAATCGATCTTCGATTCTACGAACACATACGCAGCAAATCTGAAGTGACAAACAACGAAATGTTTCATACCCGACTGAAACTTCTTTTATTGGGTAATAAATTTTACAGTGTAGAAGATTTTTTCGAAGATGTTTTAACTAATTTTAATTCGACGTCGTTGCATCGCACTTTCGGTGAAACAGTGACGTAACGTACATATTATAAAATTTACAGCAAACGTTTTAGAAGTTTTGTGTTTAGGGCTACTGAGCACATTGGGTGAGCTCTTAAAAGTTATATTGTTTCAATTGCATTAATTTTAAAAAGGTTTGGCATCACAATTTTTTGCAGTCAAGTCAAGTAAGTCTGTGTTTCATTGTGTCTGTGTGCTGTATGTAAAGTAATATTCATAACATTAAATTGTAACATTGTGAGATGCATCAAAGACATATATATATTTACCATTTTTTATTCTAGTTTTACTTTTCAATGTTTTGATTCGTTTTTTCCCTTTTGTAGTGTCAATTGTGGTAAACAAATAAAATTATTTTCTTTCTTTCTTTATTCTATAATTCTGTACGCGGAAACTCTTGAATTTATTAATCCCTTTTGTCAAATGTGTAAACCTGTTTGATAATAGCATTCCCTTTTCCTTTCAATGGATGTTACACGTAGCTATTGTTACACATTTGGCCTTGCGTATCGTAGATGCAGCCTACACCTTTTTTAATAGATTGATTGCTTCATCAGCTAGATAATTTTCTGTTTTATAATAGTTTACATTGACAGCAACACTGCCGAGCAAATCAAGCTAGTCGAACAGACAGTCAATTTGTCACAAGCCTAATCTTGTTAGGTTAAGTTTTGTTATGTATACCTTTAGTTGGGCCTAAGCCTGTAATTTAGTTCAGTGTTCAATGAAGGTAATTTGAAAAGCAATTAGGATATTATTGGACGTCTACGAAGGAAATGAAATGAAATTTAAATGCTAACTGGTAACTTTACTGCACGTGCCACTGCGGGGCCCATGTACTTCACCATTTCTTCGAATTTTTCACGTCCATTTCATGGTTTATTAAGTGGTGCTTTAGTAGCAGTAGAGCTCCTTGTGAAAGAATTCGTCCAGAGAGGTACTGCCACCTTACCTATTTCTATCGCCAAGCAGTAAATGAGCATTACTAAGCCCCGGTTTGGAGGGGTAAGGGTGCTGGTGAAATTACAGACACATGGGACTTGTCAACTTATGTCTCAGGGTGACGGGAGCAGCCCCATATCTTTCTACATTAGTTTTGATTATAGTGACCCTCCAAACCGACCCTTAGGGTATACGAGAAGGGCACTATAATCTGTCCGCGCACAGGAACCTTATAAGTTCAGGTTCTGACCCCAGATCAGCCAGTGTATAGGGTTGTCTCTGACCTCTGTCACTTGATTTCATCCGGTTCTCGAGAGGCTAGTGCCTCCATATTTTCAAAATACGAGTAGGTACCGGAGCTGTAGGCACGCTCACTTTCCGTTGCGCGCTGTACAACTAGCGGTTGCCACCGCTAAGACGTCGACTCTAAGTCCACTACCAAATCTCCTCTACCTCTACCGTCTCCAAATTGGTGACGGAGCTGTAAGGCACGCTCACTTCCCGACGCCGAAAAACGACGTTTCTCCAGTTCCCAATAACCTAAACGGCTGGAGGGACAAAAAAAGGAGGAGGTTCTGAATTAGACTGTATTTTTTTGTGTGTATGTTACGCAATTAGTCGGCATTTGTTAACCGATTTGGATGATTATTTTTTTGTTGGAAAGAGGGTAACCTCAGCATTGGTCCTATTTACATTTGAAGAAAATATTCCACCTCCAAGGGAGGCTAACTAGGGGATGTATCCGGTTTTGTGCACTTCCGGAAACCGATTTCAATAAAACTTGGCAAATAGATGGAATTCCACGAACTTTTGAGGTCGGTTATTTATTATAAAAAAGTTATTATATAGAGCATTTTGAGCTCTATCTTATAATCCTTAACACGGGTATTTGACCACATTTCATTTACTCGCGTCTCAGTTAGTTGACTGCAGCATAATTATCAACCATCACTATATTACGCATCTCACTGATAGTCATGGGTTTCCCCTGACGA